TGGGGAAGCTGAGAAAAAGTGTTTTCCTTGTCCCTGGTAAATGACAGGAGAACTCAGGGCGCTGAGACTCTAGAGGTAGCCTAGTAGAAAGAGCATTGGACCAAGAGTCAAGCGTTTGAGTCCAAGCTCTGCTATTGGATACAACGGCTCTGGGCCTCAGCTTGCTTGTTAATAAAGTGAACTAGTTTACCTTATCTGTCAAGTCAGACCCCCACTAGACAATCTCCTTGATCTGGTTTGGCATGCCTTATTGGGGTGACAGTGCAGTGACGATGAAGGAGAGGGAGGGGCTGGCAGTCGTTGGGTGCTCATACCAACACAGCGCCACCTCCTGTCCAAAAGGGAGCAGAGCTCAGCACAGCCTCTAGCAAGACAGCTTTCCAAACAAGTTCATTTCCTGTTCCCACACCTCTGTTTTGCCCTAGGAGGGAGTGGTAATGGGAAGCTAAGGATCTCCCTAATTAAGTATAGCCTCTCAGCCCTTCTCTTTTTCCCCCAAGTGATGTCAAAGGGGCCTTAGGGAGAAGCTCTCTCAAGGCTCAGCTGCCAACCTAAAGTAGGCTTTTGGAGACTTCCCAGGTTCAAGAAGGAAAAGATTAGACACCACCCAGAGAACTCAACGGTGTCTCTCCTCCTAAGACATATTTCTCCTATTCATGGGAGTGATGCCTTGATGTCTCAGGGACAAACTGGTGCATCAGACAAAGCTGGTTTGTACTAAGTGGTATACGCCACATGAATTTCCTCTGTTAAGGATCTGGCTGGGCATGAAGCTCACTTACTAGTCCATACGTCACACATTGCATTGACACAGACGAGCTCCTAAAGAATGTCCCCCTTGAAGCAGCCTTAGAGCTCATCTGAGCCAAGCCCCAGCTTTTACAGATAAGAAAAACTGAGAGTCCAGAGAGAGATGTCTTTTGACAGATCAGTGGCAGAAAGGGGCTAGAACCTATGATTCTTTATCATGACTTGGTTTTTGAGATGCTGACTGCAGGCTCATACCACAGGGTCTTCGGAAGAAAGGGTTGCCACTTCGGGGCTCCAGAAACATGGCCTTAATATGTGGCAAGATAGTTTGATAAACCCTCAGTTGGGTAAAGCCCAAGACCGGTCTCTAAACCAGCCAAGGAACCCTAGAGGCATCTGCCCAGTTTCTGCTCATCTCCAGCCAGGCTCCTCCAGGAAGGAAAAATACTTGAGATGCCTTTAAGAATCAATATTAGAGTCTTTTCTGGTGAGGAACATGCCCAGCTTTTGCTCCCAGTTCCTTACTTACAGCTCTAGGGAAACTCTCCAAAAGAGACATGTAGATTGCCTACAAAAGTCTTTTTCCACAGAAGCAAAACAGGCTAAAATGCAGAAGGCAAGCAGCTGAAAATTCACTCTGGGATTTGTCACTTGTTTGGGCTAGCCAAAGGTAAGGGCAAGAAAGCCTGATGAAAAAGGGACAATTCGGAAAGGAAATGAGCCCTCACTGGGGAAGGATACAGGTATTTGTTTACTGCTGAGAGGTACGTAATCTCAATTAGTACTCACAACAATCCTGTGAATAAGATGTCATTATCATAATACTCCTTAGGAAATTCAAGTTTTTGAAAGACTGCTCTATCCTGTGTGGGTATCTTTGCACCTGAGATGTCCTGCAACAATTTAACAGATGGAGGTTTGCGTTTTTGCTTGGCAGAATGATGCTAAGCTTTTTAATCATGTAGAAAGCATATAACCCATTTTGCTACCACTCCATACCCTGTCTTGCAACTGATATTAATATTTCATTTAGTTCTGTATGTCTGTTCTCTATCTATTTATATGCAGTGACTGAGAGTTTAATTCTTGTCATAAAGCATCATGAGCAAGATACGGAATATATATGTTTAATAGCATCTAAAAATGTCAAACTTACCACTATTTTCATCGTTCAATATGTCCCTCAGTGTGCCTGCACAGGAATAAAATGAACTTTTAGATGCAAAAGAGAATATGGGTCTCCTCCTGTTTAATTTTCATGGAACACTCTTTTTCCTTAAATTGGGGAGGGTGGGGCAACAGAGAAAGGTATTCCCAGAAAGTGAGACGGGCCCAAGGTACCTCTGCTTCCTAACACAGTTCTTTTAGGACGGACAAGGTTTAAAACACTAATAGACCGAAAATAAGAATATTCTGCAATAAGCATGGAAGGCAGTTTTTCTCTTTTTACATTACAAAGTAGCCAAAGCAGCCACCACACCAATATCATGTTTTCAACTACTGCTTCTAATGTACAGCCATAATAGCTGATTACATGTCACTATTTCCATGTCTCCTTCCCTCTCCTAATCTCCTTGAGGGTGTCTTACTCATCCTCACGTACCTGACCCTTAGGAACCTCCAAAAGTCTGCTGCTGAATGCCTACTAGGAGCAGGTGGTATGCTGACTGCTGTCACATCATTACATTACTTAGCCATCACATGAACCCTTGGGGTGGGGGGGTTACTCTTTTTATAGTAAGGAAATGGAATAGTTAAATGACTAATGAAGGGTCACAAAATTAGGAAACAGTAGACCCGGATTCAAACCCAGGGCTCTTTACTTGCAATCTAGCACCTCCCCAACACACCTGCAGTAGCCTGTAGTGTTGAGTTAACCTAGTTCTTCTCCCCCAGTGAGGACCTTGCGCTTTTACTCATCATCTCAGCTGGACCTGTTTACCAATGGGCAAGGCTCCTCCTATGACCAGGCCTCTAGATCACCTAAGGATCATAACACACTCTAAAAGGTTGCCCTGCCAATCATCTTTGAATTTATGGAGTAAATACTTTGAGAAAACTATTAATATTATGTAAATGCAAGCTAGTCATGATCACAACTAAAAGGTTATAGTTTTCTTCTTTGAAAAAATAGCCTTACCAAGTGAATGGGAAATGAAATATTCTCTTTTAGCTTTTAATTTAGCAATAAGTTCAAAGTACCCTAAGCTTTAATTATCCATGAATCAAAAAGGAAAGAGCATTGGGTTGAGCCTGGGGAGAGCCTGCTGGCAGGTCACCATGTGCTGGTAATAACCAGCGAAGGATGAATGAAGCTTTGTGTGCCTGGAAAACAGATGTTTGTGAACCCAGCTAGGCTGCTTGTCAGTTCCTCTTAAGCAGCTGTTCCCAATGCAAGAATCAGAATCATCTGGGTAACTATTTTTCCAAATACACGCCTGATGGCCCTTAGGTGAAAGGAAGAGGAAATAATTTCATTCTGGAAGTAGCTCAGGGGTGATTCAGGCCACACTCCCCTCTCCTGGGTGGGTTGAGAACTGCGGCTTTTACACGAAGTTGCTGGCCCCCTAAGAGCTGGGGCTGGTTGGTCCACCTCTCCTTTGAGGCCTCAGATCAAATCATAACTACTTTTTGTTTGTAGGTGGGAGCCAATGCTCTGCTGGGACAAAAAAGCAAGGAGCTAAACTATCTGGCTTCTTTTGTACAATGTCGTCAGATAAGTCAGAAATTCTAAGTAATCAAATCCCACCCACCAGATACCTGGGCCTCATGGGGGATTGGGCAACCCGGATCTGCAAGCGGGCGTGGTTGGTATCTGTACATACAACACAATGAGGCAAATTAGAGCCAGGGTCACAGAACTAGAGATGATTAGAGCTAGGTTTGTTTGTTTGTTTGTTTTTAGATCACTTGGATAAACCACCCTCCTTTAACACTGAGAACTAAAACAGTATTCCTCAACCTAAGCCACACATTACACTTACTGTGACACTTTACAGATGCTTGCCTGAGTTCAGACCACACAGGACAATCTGATTCGGTAGGCCTGGGGTGGAGTTTTATTCTTTCTGCGTGATTCTGGGGTGCTATGTTAAAGTGACTCGCCTAGGGTCACTGCAGGGGCAGAGCCTGGCCAGGTCTATAGCCTTTTTTTTTGCCACTATACCACTGTGTCTCTAAAGGAAATGGATTTAAAATTGAATTGTAGTCATTACCAAATATTTAAGGCATTCTGAAAAATTCTCTAACTACGAAACCTTTTCTAATGAATTGGCCACTGCTGAAAATTAAGTTCATGCCTTTTGTGATGGCCAGGGCTCTCAAGCCTACACTGAACAGGAGAGGCTTGCGGGGTGACGGAGGAAGAACTTGGGGACTTAGGCATACCTCTTCACTAAGGTGTGTGAAAGACGGTTTCGCCACTAGGTGGGACTGCAGGCTGCAGTTCTAATTATGAGGACAGCACTCCGGTCCTGTTCTCCCAACAAAATTAAAATGAACATTTCCTGTCCTGTGCTGCTACTTTAGTTTTTCACTAGAGACTGGCTGGATCAGGAAAATGACTGAATGAGGCTGACAAGAATTAATCAGTTTCTAGAACAATGACCTGGCAGGCCCCAGAGGATTATGGGGCAGTTAAATAAGGGCCTATAAAGTGGCAATGAGCCAGGCTATCAATTATATTCTAGACCATCCAACCTCACCGGATAGATGGCTGTGCCTTCATCTAGTGAACTGTCCTATTAACATGCCAATTAAGGCTACTTTTACTATCATGTCAGAAACCCAAGTTTCTTGTAAAAGAAACACAATGGATTAGTCTAAATACCACTGCACATAGTGCTACCACATGATTCGTTTTATAATCATCCTTCCTTCCAGTCTCTCTCAAGCAAATGGATCACAAATAAGCACACCATATCATTAACATCTACATTGCAGCCGGCCTCTTATTACTGAGTAATCTGGCAAATGGCATGCCTTAGTATCATGTGTGGGTTGTTACTCAGCACAGCCACATTTCTAGAAAGCTCTACGGTCTATTACTCATATCTCATGTGAACACATGATCAAGCAGACATGTTCTTCATGTACTTCCCACGGCTCACTTTCAGCTAGTGCCAAAGGGCGACAGTCGCTCAGAAATGACATATATGACGGGGGAAGATTATTGGACTTTCAAATAAAAACCAAGTTCAGACCCTTAGGAAAGGCAAAAACAAAACAAAATACACTGGACCTGATACATGTTTCATATACATATTTATATATATTTCATGTACAAAGTTACATTCCGAACCCCAGGGATTCCATAATAGAAATAAATACTGAAATAACTACATTGCTAAATGAGCTTTTTGCTCATAGAAATGAAGCCTCAGCCTCTAACAGACAGCAAGAACCATTTTTCAGATTATAGAGGCAAGTAAAATTCTGGATAAAATGTCTAGGACAAAAAACAAATTCAGAACATAAAATGGTTACACTATATTCAAATATTGAGAAACATGACAACATTAATAATAAAAACTTAATTTTTTAAAGAGAAAGAAAATGAAATTTTGTGTTATAAAACAGTATAACCCTGTTAGAAAAGCATTTATGATTTCCACATTTAATTCCCTCTCCTCTACTCTTCTCATGTTACAAACTGGGACCAATGAGTCCCTTTCTCAACATGATCAACTAAGAAGAGCCCTAAATCTGGTGGAGTCCTTTGGTAACGGTCATAATACTCACAAGGAAATATTCAGTTCCATAGCGGTTGCATGACATACATTCTTTAGTACAGTTAATATTATGAGACGATTGTTTTCTTTTGTTTTGTTTCTAAGGCAGCCACTGTTAAAGGGTCTATTCTCAAATATAGGAAGACCTTTAAAAGAAAGGAACAATACAGCAACTGGAGAATGTATTTTAACCCTTTCTATGCAAACACAATTGGAAAAGTTATGTGCTGCATATTTTGTGCTCAAAATGTTTTACACTCTCGACAAGCTGCAGCTATTAAGGTATTCATTCCAATTTTTAAAATTTAGATCCACACGAATTAGAGAAAAACACTCTCAAAACCGAGTCCCTAGAAAATATTCTCCCTTTGCCTCACAGGGATTTTAACCTGCAGTTAATACTAAGCATTAGGTTAATGTCTATGATACCGCCATTTTTGTAGATCACCATCAGATCACATGGTTCAACCTCATACATAACCCAAGCGTAACAAAATAAGAAAATTCTCATGTATCCCTTATTTCTTCCAATAGGAGTAAATTTTTTTTTTTTTTTTTAAACCATGGAGAGACCAATCCGTGGTACTCAAGCCTCTTCTCTGCCCTTGATGTGCTAGCTATAGGCAGTTTATACTAACCGCTTTGCAGTTTGCAAGAAGCTTACATTTTGGCATTTTCTCCAAGGGTTACCATCTTGACCAAAGTGAATGTTACAAGAATATAAACCTGTTATTGGGGAATAGGAGGAAGTAAAGCAATCAGTAGAAAATACTTTACTGAAATTATAAACATGAGGACAAGCCCTTAAAACAAATGGTACAGCATTATTGTACTCTCTCTAGTCCCTGAAATTAACAGGGCCACAGATAATCTGACAGTTTTAGATACAATAGCTACACACCTATATTCTTAATATCAGTAAGTTTAATGAGTAATTACAACCATTGTAACATGTTTGTCTGCATTTCTCATCTTTGTCTCCTAATTTCCTACATTTGGTCATACAAACTATAAAAGACTGAACAGCAAATGGGGTGCGACTCTGGGATTATAATTCCCAGACACTTTGGTGTGTCGTTCTTGTGAGTTCATACAGCATTCCTAAAAATGTTTAAGAATGTTGATCATTTAAGGTATTGCCAAAAATGACTCATATTTAAAATGAAATAAAAGCATAGCTTATGTTATGAAAAAGTGGCCTAAGTTTTGGTGCCCTGAAGAAATGTACGTAGCTCAAGTAAAACATCATCCTTTTATACAGCTTTTACCAAAGGTTTTTTCCTTCCAGCCATCTAAAAGTGGCCATAATTTTACTGGGTACACAATGTGCTTATAGACACATGTGGCCAAACGGATCCAAAGCCTCCTCTGGCTCATTGAATCTCATGTGTTTTATAAGCTAGCCAAATCATATATGTGCTTAAAACTCACTGGTGTACTTTTTACAAATATCTTAGAATGATAGTTCAAGAAAAAAATCTCTGGTACTTACAAATGCGTAGACAATCTGAGACCTGTGTTTGTTTTCTTTCCTTTAAGTAGTCCTTCTGATAAGGGGTCTTTAATAGGTTTATATTTTTAAAATAGCACTTATTTTTATATTTAGCTTTGCTTAAAGTAATGAGTAAAAAATGGTAAATCACACATTTTCGAGAGGCTTGAGGGGGGAAAAACTGAAGCACAATGGTTTTTCAAAAACTTATTAAACAAGGAAATCAGGCCCAGACTATTTTTTAAATGGGTGTTGTGAGTGAAAAGATGTCATATCAACTTTTACTCTATGGTACCTTAGCTTTGTCCTCTTCGCCATCATAAGTTTTCCTCTTTGAAGATGGCATTTTAATCTCAAAAGGGCATAAAAGCTCAAATGTGTCATTTACATACAAAATATCAAGTGCAAGCTGTTCTGTAGTTTAACAAGAAAAAAATACCGTTTCCAATCAAATCCCTCAGTCAGTTCGGCCACATTCCATCACCACTACTGCTTTACTCTTAACTAGTAAGAGCAATCCAAGAACAACTGGTAAACAGGTGAATTTCTTACATGGAAAAAACTCAACCAACCACCACCATCCGCTGGTACGAGGACTCCAAAACACAATTCCTTAAAAAAAAAAAAAAAAAAAATCCTCCCATTGCTGACATCTATCTTCTAAGCCTTCTAGGTATAAACCTTTCAGACATGTCAGTATGAAAATGAGTAAAACTAGTCTTAAAAAAATCAGAATATTCAGAGAAGCAGGCCTCATAAACTTTAGAGCTCTAAGTCAGAAACAGGAAACTTTTATTTAAATAGTGTAGTCTTAATTTCTTTAATATAAAACCCCCCAAATCTGATGAAAACAAAGTTTTATATACCATATAAACAAGATTTGTCAGATTTGAAAGTGAAAATTAAAGTAATTTACAGTTAGCTTTTAACCTTCTCGGGACATTTAGATAAATCCTGATAATCCACCTGATATTAGTTTGTGTCAATTTTATAATACATTCGGGAAAACTTAACTATTGTACTTAATGGTACAGTTTCATTTATCAAGTGTTTCCATTAATTCCATTATTAGTGACAGCTAAAAAGTGATCCCATCTAACAAAGTGAGCGACATTAGCTGTGGCAGAATAAACCACATCTGGATTGCTTTCTATAATTCACCAGTCTGCAGAAAGTAAACATTCTTTGATTTGTTCACAATATACTGAAATTGCCTATAACACTGGTGCAGTAAAACAGCTAGTTCCTGTATTATTACGGTAAGACAGATTTTGTAAAGTTAACAGGAAAAAAATGCTCACACATTATGTGGTGAAAATTATTTCACAAAGAGAGCATTAAATAAAGAAGAAAAGGGAAAAGAAACCATGCAGAAGAGACAGCTTCTCCGTCTCCACCTGTGTCCCATGGGCTCACTCACTGCCATACATCACTTGCCACACTATCAAGTGACTCCTTTCCGCTTTGGCAACAGAAGGTTCGAGTGGAAGATCCTCTCCAAGAAGTTCTGATTCTCCACCTTCATCACCTAGTGGATGATAGGGAGACTCAAGTTAGGTTGAGCATAGAATATGCAGGTGGACATACATCAGACATGATGCTCATGGTCAGGGCACGAACAGGATGCACAAAACTTGTCTGACTCCCATTGCAGATAGCACAGAAAAAGGAATGCCATGAATCAGAATCTCCACTGCCTGACTTCTAAAAAGGTTAATTCACTTTCAGACTGCATTTGTAACAGCAAGTTCACTGTATGTTGGAGACGTATCCCAATATGTCTCTATAACGAAGTTAGCAGAAATGGGAGCTAAGAGGGCAAAGCTGTCCAATTCTGCGTTTATCCAAATGGACAGTCTACGCTTGTCTATTTCAAAGAACTAAGACTAGATAGTACTATCAATGTGAGTGTGGGGACAGACCCCACAAACTAACTAAACCCAAACAACTCATGCTTATTGTCAGTGACAGTAAAGTTCTCTAATCAAAGGCAAATGACATGAGTACATGGAAACTGGCATTGTCTCTCTGCAGCACTACGAGGTGAGTTCATCACCTAATATACTGGGTTTTCCTTCCCATAGTTTTCAAGTTTAGAGGTAATGAATTGATAGTGTATGATAGAGATAAAGAAATGAGGCCAAGGTATAGATGGACTAGAAGTTCTTCCAGGAGTAGCTGAGTGAGTTTGATAATGACACTGTTCTCCAAGGCTTGGTGCAAGCACGCCATACCCACCTCTATAAGCACACATTGTCAGAGAGCAGGGTTATTCTGGCACAACCCTGTGACAACACAGCAGAATCATACCAACTTAAATAACAAGGAACAAAGCTATAATGCTGATCCACTAGAATTCTGTAATGTGTCTTACCCGAATTTCAATTATGCCAAAGAAAACACTGATACTGTCAGCTAGTGATAGTGGAAGAAAAATAACCATAAACATTTCATTTTTCTCAGCAGGCCAAACTCTCCCTTATCCACCTCCTAGTGGCTTTTCACAGAAATGTCAAAAATGTAGAGAGGAGCATGCTTTAAAAGACTCAAGACAAAAATCCAGTTTTTGAACTGAAATATAATCAAGTATTTAGCATATAAAAAATCAAGTTTGGTTTTTAAATTTTAAAAAATTACAATAATAATGACAAATTAATTGGCTGAGACAAAAGATTGTTAGTATTTGTTTTTTGAGTTGTTTTGTTTTAAAGGTTTTGTTTTTAAAAATTACCCTGTTTTCTAAGGTCTCTACATCCTACTTAGTCCATTAAAAATATTGAGACTGTTGGGATCAATTTTTCATTGTTCATATGTTACAGAAAATGAAAAAAGAAAAGGAACAAAAAAAATCAAATTAAATTTTTTACTTTTTAGAGCATGTTTACTATTAAAATTAACCTATGCTTTAAGACAAGTCTGTTTTTAAGGTTGGATTAACCAGAGATAATGACAAACCTGTTTAAGCAGTTTTTATGCTATTTTCAGAATCTACAATGAAAGAAATTGTTAGTGGAAATGGAAATACGACATAGAGATTTTATTAACATAACATACTTCGTTTGGTTCCAACTGCCATGCTGCACTCCAAAAAAAGCTCTAAAAATAACCCCAGCCAAATGAAGTCCCTCTTTAAAAAGGAATTCAGTTCTGCACCAGAAGTCAGCTATTTAAAATACTTCTGAGACTTCATTCCTGGTAACATCACCAGAATCAATCAATTCCTAAACTTAACATTAACATTTCCCTTAAAAACTTGTCAATAAGCTTTTTTGCATCACAGTTATTCTAGTATATACTAATTACATGTGGCACGCTGTCATTTACATGACCCTAAATTTTATACTTCTTTTTTATAGCTATTTATAACTAAAATAAGTATCTGTCACTGATCTATAACATTATATTCTTTAAAACTTCATGTTTAGGAACTTCTGAATCTGTTAATTTTAGGCCAGTCCAAAGGATCCCCTTCACTCAGAGTAAATAAATTTACATCACGGTGCTTTACAGCTTACAAAGCACTAGACTGTCACAAACATCAACTCTCTGTGTTTTCTTTGTACCTCTTGGGCCATTTCTTCTTAGATCATTTCAAAAGCTCTAATGATCCTTTAAATGGGGTATATTAATACAGAGTTCTTTTAGCCTATATACACATTCCTTGGGTGAACTCATCAACTCTTGTGGCTTTTAGTACCACTGCAGGAGAACAGCTCCCAAATTCCTCCCAGAAAATACCCAAAAGCCTAGTGAACACTTTCCACCTAGATAACTCTCAAGTCCTATGCTCTTCAAGGTCAACATATCCAACACGAAATTCCTCTTTCCCAAATCTGCTTCTTCTGCTCTGATAGTCCTTATCTGAGTAAATGAATAGTTCCCTCTTTCCCCACATCTATGACAGTCATGATGGCATTCCAGATGGTGGTCCCAATGGAGCCAAAAAATTGCTGTCACCCAGTGATGTCATAGTGCAATGCAGTACTCACGTGTCTGTAGTGATGATGATGTAAACAAACCTAGTGCGCATTCAGTCATATCAAAGTATAGCACATACAATTCTGTACAGTACATAATACTTGATAATGATAATAAACAACCATGTCACTGGTTTTTGTATTTACTACACTACACTTTTGATTAGAGTGTACTTCTTTCTACTTATTGAAAAAGTTTTTTGTAAAACAGTATGCTGTTTTACACCGGCAGCAGCTCATATACCTTGTGTTTATATGATTGCATCATTTTTTCTTGTGCTTAATTTAATTTCCTGTTGTTTTGTATAGTAACATGCTGCACAGGCTTGTAGCTTAGGAGTGATAAGCTATACTATCTAGTTGTGCACGTGTAGTCTACGAAATTGTCTAATGATGCATTTCTCAAAACGTACCCCCTTCATTAAGGAGTGCATGACTGTACTAACCAATTTCCAATCATGCCACTTACCTATTCCTATTATTACCACCTTAATCAGTTATTCACTTTTCCTTAACTCATTTCCCTATCTCTAGTCTCACACTTTCAATCTATCTTCCACACAAATCTAATCACATTGCTCTTCTGTTTAAAGGCCTCCAATAGTTTTCCTTGGCTTTGAAGATCAAAAGGTAAACTCCTTAATTTGATATATAAAAGCATTCCATAATCCAGCCCCTCCCTCTCTTTCTAGACTTATCTCTGATCAAATTTGTACTTGCTTCTACTCCTTGCTCTAGTCACTTTTAAATAGCTTTTCTTCAATTAAGGTGCTTTGACATTTCTAAACCTTTGGTCAAGTTATTCTCTTACTTCAGAATGCCAAGTCCCCACCCAGCCTTCCCCATCCCCCTCCCTAACTCAATTCTTTAGACGAACAATATTCGGTGTTGAATAACCTCAAGCATCATTTCTGGACTACCGTTGCTCCCGTCATAGCATCACTAATACTCGTTTATTAACACACTTCTCTCTCTGCACTGTTCTATAATCTATTGGAGGGAGATGCTGTCTGACTTGTTTCTGTAACTCAAGCTTAAGGCTGACAGGCACATAGTTGATAATATTTATAAGGTGGGAAAATGACCGAATAAAATCAATTTTGATATAAACAACACTTTATGAAGTATTTTTATTTCTCCATTTTACAGGTGAGGAAACTAAGGTTCTGGGAGGTTAAATGATTTGCCCAAGGCCTTCTGACCCCATATCTTAAGCTCTTCACATATACCTCAATATATGACAAATCTTGCTATTTTCTAATGCTCCTTCAAACAAATACACTTTAGGGAAGGAGGGAGGGAGGGAGAAAGGGAAGGAATAGAGGGAGGGAGGGAGGGAGGG